CCGCGGCGTCTCTGCCCGAGTATATCGCGCGTCGGCCGCCTCCTCATCGTCCCCCGCTTTCGCCGTCAAGGTCATCCCGCCGTCCAAGCTTCGTCCTGCCGTGCGCAGGGAGGTCGCCTTACACTACCCGCTTCGCCATCCCAACATCATTCGTCTGCACGCCGTCCATCCGGCCCGTCCGCCTCACCATCACCTCTCTTCCACACCTAGTGCTCAGTCGCTCTCGCTCGCACTAGTCACTGAACTCGCTCCGGCGGGCGATATGTTTGCAGAGGTCGCCGCCGCAGGCTCCCTGCCGCCCCCTGTCCTCAGGAGAAGGCTGGCCGACATTGCCAACGCCCTCTCGTATCTCCACCACGAGGGGATTGCTCATCTTGACCTCAAGTTGGAGAACGTCGTCATCTCCAAGTCGAACACCGCAAAGCTTGCCGATTTTGGCTGCGCCGCCCGCATTGCTCACAAAAACCCCAACTCCTCACTTCGTGGTACCCTGCACTACCTCGCCCCGGAGCTCATCAATGACCCCTCGCTCCCCCCCTCCCCCACGGCTGACGCCTGGTCTATGGGCGTCCTTGCTTACACTGCCCTCGTCGGTGCCTACCCTTTCAACGGTGCCCGCCCCGGCAATTCCGAACAAGCCAATGATCGCGCCACCAAGTATCGCATTCTTCACGCCGCCCCCCACCGATTCCCATCCGCCCTTCGTATTCCCGACGATCTCCTCAAGATTATCCGCGGCCTTTTGCACAAGGACCCCGCAAAGAGAATGACCATTTCAGAAGTCTACGCCCTTCTCTCCTCCGCTCGCAACACCACCAAATCCATCATCAAAACTCCTAATCCTCAGAGGCCTTCCCCGGACAAAATATTCCGCCCGCCATCCCCGGCTAGCCCCATCAATGCCGATTTTCACTCCAACCACTCGGTCCCTACCCATTACACCCAGACCAAGGACGATGCCCTGCGTATTGTCGATGCCATAACTGCTTGCACCTCGCGTGCCGCCACCAATGGCCCGCTGCACAGGCGCAATTCTATGGGCCGCCCAGCCCCGCGAGCAACCGCCCCTCGATCTTGATGGCGCCCACTTCATCACTTCCCCTTTTCGACATTGCGTGCACACATCTCACCGTAATGTCTAATTTTCGGTTGCTGGCCCCACACCCAGTCAGTCCGCGTGTATCATTTTCACTCCTTTCTCCTTTTCTTTGTGCTCTATTGCACTTTGGGGCTCATCCTATAGGTTTGCACATATTTCGGAGCTCATCCGTTTCACCCACCCCCCCCCCCCCCGCACTCCCCTTTTATACCTAACCATAGGTAGATTTCACCCTTATCAACACTCCCAATAACACAACACATTAAACCAACATCAACTTACTCATCAAAAACAACATTTGCCATCACCCTTTGAGTCTCTCGCTTTGCTTGTGTTGTGCCCCCTTTGACTTCACATCCCCTGCCCCATCCATATCTGTCATATCCATACCTGGACGACAGCAAGTTGCAAAGCCTACCCCTGTGAGGTCCAGCGCTCCCAACTTCAATGAGACGTGCACTTCAATTTGTTTGTGTGTCTGTCTCGGACGCTTCCACATCTCCCCTGCCTTCCCTTTCCCTTGCACCACACTCTGTTCCCCAAAACCCTCCTTCTCCGTAACATTTGTTACTCCCACCCCCGCTACCTTGCTAGTGGACGCGTCGGGATCTACCTCGAGCTCCAGCTTCACAGACGGGTGTTTGCTATGCCTGACGCCATCCCAAAGCCACACGGGAATCTGCAACGGGATCAGCACGGGCGCGTGAAACGCCTCGACAAACTTTTTCTCCTTAAACGTGATATCGTTCGCCTTTGTATACCGCATAAACTCCTCATAAATCGTGGGCAAGTTCCAGTTCTGTAGCCGTCTCAAGCACATCACCACAAGCCCCGTGTTATGGCCGCCGTCGCGGCAGTGGATAAAGATGGGGTGGTTGCGGGGGTCGACGAGCTTGTTCAGCAGCGAGGCGACCAGTTGCGGCGTGTGCGAGAAGCCGTCGTCGTACTTGTCGACCGCGTGCCAGAAGAGCGTGACCCCCTCCGCGTCGCAGTACTCCCGCAGGTCGCTCGAAGGGCCCGTGCTCCCCGGCACCAGCGACAGCACCGTGCGGAGCTTGAGGCGACGTAGGTACCGCATGTTCTTCAGCGAGGGGTGGCCCCCGCGGTACACCCCCTCTTCGATCAGGCATAGCCGGAATGGCGGGATGAGCGGCGGCAGGGGGCGCGACATGCGCAGCGCGACAGCGGAGGCGGGGGCAGGGTTGTACGGGGCGCGAGGGGCAGCGGGTTGCGGGAGGGGCTGCGTAGGCCGACCTGATATGTGGTTGTCAGTCATATGGACGGATGTGACATGCGTGCGCCCGTGGCACGGGCAGAGTGCGGCGGTGACGCGGGGTGGAGGGATGGGGGGAGGTGGAAGGATGGGAGAGTGAAGGTTAAGGGAGCGGAAGAAAAGACGTGCCACGAAGGGGCAGGAGATAGGGTTTTTCTTTGATAAACGGAGATTAATTTAATGTGAGAGAAGCGCCAAGGTTGAAAAGTACTGTACAATGTGGCGTCTTTTAAGACGTCTGTGAAGCATTCCCTCATGAAGGCCTCATGAATGCCTATTCGCCGAAATCTGATCATTGAGAGGTGCAACGCGGCACACGACTGTCTCTCCATGCGATGCTTCTTCAGATCACTTCAGCAAGCCCGCGCTCTACATTCCCGCCATTCCCTTCAGCAGTGCCGAAGCGCACCCGGCTTCTACCATCGCCGAGCACCGGCGTCAGCTTCCACTTTGCGAGTCCCTAGCCTCTTCTTGCATCTCCAGTCCCATCGGCATCCCCATCGGCATCCCCATCCCCGCCGCCACCTCGCCAAGATGGGCTCCACCGACGTGGCCCCGCCGTCGGGGGCATCGGCGACCTCAGATCTGAAGGCCAATTTCAAGGCCGTCTTCCCGGAGCTCGTCGACGAGATCATGGCCGAACTGCATGACCAATTCGACCTCCCGGAGGACGCCCTCAAATACATCCGCCACAACCTCGAGTACAACGTCCCGCACGGCAAGCTCAACCGCGGCCTGGCCGTGTCTCATTGCTACAAAGCCTTCCGCAAGGGCGACGCCATCAAGCCCCACGAAGAGCGTGCCGCGTACATCCTCGGCTGGTGCGTAGAGCTGCTCCAGGCCTTCTTCCTCGTCGCCGATGACATCATGGATGCCTCCGTCACGCGCCGCGGCCAGCCCTGCTTTTTTCGACTTCCGCAAGTCGGGCTTAACGCCATTAACGACTCGCTCGTGCTTGAGAGCATGATTTACCGCCTCATTCGCAAGCACTTTCGCGACTCGTCCGTTTATGTCGACTTGGTCCACCTCTTTCAGGATATTACGTACACTACCGAGATCGGCCAACTGCTCGACTTGACGTCCAACGAGGCGGACAAGGTGCAGTTAGATCGCTTTACGGATGACGCGCTTGCGAGAATTTACAAATATAAGACCTCGCATTATACCTTCTATTTGCCTGTCGCCTTGGGAATGCGACTTGCTGAGGTCTCCGATCAGAAATGCTATGATACGGCAAAGCAAATATGTCTCAAAATTGGTCATTTTTTCCAAGCCCAGGATGACTTTCTGGATGCGTTTGGCGATCCTGAAGTCACAGGCAAGGTAGGTACCGATATCGAGGAGAATACATGCACCTGGCTTATCGTCGAAGCCCTCAAAGTGGCCACGCCCGCAGATATGGCTATCCTTAATGAAAACTACGGCGTCAAGAACAAAGCCAATTCGGACAAAGTCAAGGAAGTATATACAAGGCTTGGATTGAAGGATAAATTCCTCAAATTTGAGAACAAGACATACGAAGAAGCAACTAAGATGATAGAGGATGTCTCGGGAATGCCAACCGGGGCTTTTGAGTTTCTTTTGACGAGCCTCTATAAAAGAAAGAAGTAGAGGTGTCAAAGGCAAGGAAGGAAATCTAGAGACATCCGGGCAACAGAGCAGGTGGTTACATGACAATAACTTGTCATGCAAATCACAAAATAGATTCTAAAACAATATCTGGAACGGACCATCACATTTCTGCCCAAATTTCCCAACGTCGAAACCCCCGTTTACTTCAGAAGGGTTAAGTGGGCCCAATCACATTTCATTGTGTCTCGTCGTAGGATTTGTTACGTGTTGCATCTTAAACATTTGGCGCCGTTTGTTTTGAGAGGACTACAGTACTGTACTGTTTGTAACCACTTTATGCAGAGAGCTATCAGTTTGCTCTTCCAATGGCTGGCGATTCTTAGAATAGTGCGAAGTCGAAAGTACAGTCATCTGTAGCAAAAGTGTTGATCCAAGAATGATATTTCGCCTTTTGGCAGTATAGCCTTGTAGGGTCTTGAATCGTCACAGGTTACAATGAGCTCACTGAAGACTCCTAGATGACGAACAACGCAACGTGACTGAAATCTGCGAATATCACATCTATTGACTGTGTGAAATTAGAACACTGGCTCTCCAATCCAACTGCCTCTCACTCACTCATGTACGGTACGTACTACGTTTTTATACCGATTACGCAAGATCGAGTGCAGAGGATTGATATTTCTTACACGCAAGCTCACGTATAGGACAGGAACCACATAGCCCACCACAAGACTATCAAAAAAAGGATCACTAATCCAAAGCTGTGCTTGAGAGGGAACAGTCTTTCTTTAAACATTGTTCCAAGCAGACGACCCTCCAGAAAAAAACAAGCACTATGTCACCTGTTCGATACACGGGGGCAGCAGTCACCGTATGCCCCGAGACCTGCAAGGGTAAGGGCAAAACGTTCTGATGTCTGAAGGCTTGTCTATTTTTGTATCAACAGGAAGGATATGTATTGATGGCAGGGGACAGGCAGGATAGAGGAGTAAGTGCGGATTAGTGGCGGAAGTAGTTGGGTCACAATTCAGCCGCATAAAAGCCCTCAGATTTCTCAAAGTGCTTTTTTGGTAAATTTTGAACCTACGAATACAGCGACTTAAATCCATTATGATACCGTTCATGGGCTGCCCTCGCGGATTGCGCTGTCGTCCTTTGAAGTTCCGCATCCAAAGAAAGCGACCAGTTGGCCTCCCGTCCCTCCTCTACCTTCCACTTCGCTGCGCCGCTTTGGAATTTGTCGAACGGTGCGACTCCGAGCACCGTTCCCGTCAAGATCCTATCTGCAATGGATAATTTGACACCGGAGCCGGTCCCTGAAGAAGGCGACCGCGATGGCACCGGGGCCGCATCGGAAAGTGGTTCAGCGCCAGCCGCCCGGGGGCGAGGCGGTCGAGGCCGGGGACGCGGCCGGGGGCGCGGGCGCGGGCGCGGTCGTCGGGTCGTTCCTCGCCAAGTAGCCCGTCGCAAGCCCCCCCCACAAGCGGCTCGTCCCATTCAACCACCGCCAGCTCGCGTGCCGCGCGGACGCGGGCGGGGGAGAGGGAAGGATGCACATGGGAGGGGACGTGGAGCCGCACAATACAACTCGAACGTTGTGGGGCTTGGACAGATCGCACCCATGCGAGTGCCCAGTCGGGTTCCGTCGTCAGGTGGAAGCGCTGCGACGAGTCGGAAGAGCTCGGTCGTGTCTTCGATGTCCATTGGAGCAGCGAGTAGCACAAATGCGGCGAGTAGCTCTACGGGGATGGATGTAGACACGGGGCAGCTAGGAGCGTTACTGGATGCAGACGGTCCCATGCAGTCACAGGACGGTTTTGGGGTACCAGGGGGGAGTGGGGCGAAGGTTTTGAAGGCGGAACAGAAAGTCATATCATTTATGGAGCACTTGGAAGTTGCTGATGACAGCGACGATGACATGATGGAAACTTCATTTGAGGCGCGAAACAAGGATATTGCACCGTACGCTGGGAAGCTGACTAGGGATGGATTGCTGCTTCCCGTGTCGCTCCCTGGGTTGAGGGATCTGCCTCCAGAATATCGGGATTTTGAGTCCAAAGGGGCACATATTGATGTATCGGATGACGACGAAGAAGGTGTTACGCTTGGAAGTAAGGAGGAGCCCATGGAGATTGACGCCATTGATGATGGAGACAACGATGCTGGCAATTTGCGGCCAGAAATGTTTGCAAAAGGTTCTGTGGCACGAAAAGTATTGTCCAGTCATGATTCGCTGACGTTCATGCAGTTACCCGGGCTGCTCGCATTGATGGAAAGGAAGGATACAGATGGAACTTCAAAGAACGATAGACAGGAACCAGAGCATGACAAGGTCGAAAGCTCTGTTGCTGCGGCTGTTGCAGCAGCGGAACGCATGCGCGGATTGGGAACAGACCTTAGGAAAGTTGGGGAAAGGGGTTCCACCCGGCCTGTTGGAAAGCTACGTTTCTTCAAGAGCGGTCGCGTGCAAATGGTCATGGGCAGGGGTGGTTGCATTGAATTGGAGCATGGGATCTCTCCCAAGGTTACTCAGCAGGTTGTCATGATTGATACCGAACGGCAAAAGTGCGAGGAATTACAGAATACGCTAACGTCAAGGCTTGTCGGTGTGCCAACATTCGGGCCCGCATGAAGGCGTGAAATCTCCGCTTGAACATATCCTTTCGGAGAGTGGAGACACTCGCGCATTAATTGTGGATAACACGGGCGTCGTTCGTATTTACGTGCATGGGGTTATGGTCATGCGAATAAGAAAGGAAGGGAAACCTTGCCTCTCCCGTCATCTTGGAGATCCAGTACAACAGCGCGTTTGTTCAACGTGTTAAACTGTATTGGCAATGGAGTGAAAGAGGTTTTGCTACAGGGAAAAGGGAATTACATCTGGTGATGGGTCATGCCTGGCCGTTTCAGAAGCTGAAAATCTGCCATGAGTGCAACGTGATCAGAACTCCACTGTGCGTTGGGAATCCCGTCCTCGGCGTTCGTCTCTGCTTCCTTACCGAACAGCCGCTGTACGTCCGGAATCTCCATGACTGCCGTTGGTACAATACTGTCAGAGCCATACCAAATGTAATCTAACACGCCAACGAAATTATGCGTATAATTCGTGAACGCTGGTTCTGAACCGGTCAGAGCATACGTCGAGCGCATGTGCAGATTATGCTGCAAGCGACACGAAGACAGAACGTTGTATATGTCATCTGGGACATCTGGCTTCGTGAGCGAGCACGTCCCTGTTGATATCAACTCGTAGACAGAGCTAACCGGTTCGGAGTTGAAATCACCTCCAAGGATAATTGGGACGTCGGGACCTAGTCTGCGACTTGAAATTAATAACTCCAGTTCCTGCATGAAGACATCCACTTGGAACAATTTGACATCTGTGAGGTCTGGGTCCCAGTAAGTGTGAGTGTTTGCAACAACGATTGGCCCTGACCCGTCGATAACATCGAGGATGAGAATGAGGCCGACATTACCCTTCAGACATCTATTCAAAGTGCGCGATTCCTTTGTCCTTGAGTGTGCAATGGCGTTATATTCTACAATGTGCTGTTCTCGTAAGACAAACATGTCTTTTCGAAAGAAGGTTGCGCATCCATCAATTTTGCCCTTTCGCCCCATTGATTCTCTCGTCTTCACCTTGAAGCAACCTTCGTAGCCAAGACGCGAAAAGTATGGCTGAAAGTGATCTTCGTAGTGATCAGCCTGGACCTCTTGCAGGCACAGGATATCTGCATCGAATTGGGCCATCTCGCGGATCAAATTGCGCTTCCGGTACGTCCATGCCAACGCCCATGACGGGCAGCGTGGATAGGCTTGGGCGTTCGCATAAATTTCGGACAGGATGTTGTATGTCACGACTCTGAACGTCCCCGGGCGCTTAGTCTTCGCGTTGTAAAACTCTCCCGTAGCCAAGTTGAGCATTCGGCGTTCTGGTGGCGGTTTCGGGATCTTTCGGACAGCCATGGAACGAACTGATAGCGGGGGACCAATGTCTACGGTGCCATCTGAATTCCTCTGTACATAGCGACAAACGAGTTCCAAGATATGACCGACGTCATCAGGGGTCGGGGCATAGTTTCGAATGAAAGCAACCTCTGAAACCTTGATAGGATTCCTCAAGGGATCTTCAAAAACGCCTTCGTTTCGGCCGACAACGGCGTGGCTGCGCACAGCAACGACCTTGTCATCGGGCGAAAGCTGGTCCGTGGAATCCTTTCGCGGATACGTGCGGGCAATTTTCTCAGCATAGCCACGTAGGACATCCCAGCTCGTGCGCATGCACTCAATGGTGCAGAAGAAGGAGTCGCGAATGACCGACTCGAACTGGTCCGCCGGGAGGGCATAGTGTGCGGCGATCTTGAGCAGCGGGACAAACTGATGAGCGGCAGGTTTGAAGCACGAGTTTCTAGCACAGCTGTAGGTGGAGGCGCAGCGGTTCCAGCGATACTGAACGGAAAGCGCGCCACGCGTCTTGGCCTCGATGGTCTCTGCGGACTTGGCCTCGCCCGCGGCCGTGCGAATGACGACGTAGGGGAGGAGATCACATCCCTCCACTGGGGTGCTCGTGTAGAGAAACTCCACACGCTGGAGGTGAGGGGTGGCAGCGAGGGTTCGGCCGGGGCTCTGGTTGGGGGAGGAGGTAGTGACGGCGGTGGATGGGGGGGGGTGAGTTGGCGGCGGAGGCGGCGCCGTTGGCGGGCTTGGCGGTCAGCACGGAGGAAGGACCCTCGGCTGCCACCATTGCGGGGTGCCTTCGATGGGGACGGTAAGGGGGAGGAAGGGAGGGGGGGCGGAGGGAGGGGGGGCGGAGGGAAGGGGAGGAATTCGCAAGAGGAGGGGAGCAGGTATGTGAGTGATTTGACAGGCGGGGCAGAAAGAGCGGAGCCGAGGGTCGGCAGTGGAGGACGATGGTTTTACTGTAGTGTTCGGCTACGGTCGCGCTATGACGGCCTTGAGAGGCTGCTGCCCACAACCAGTATTGGACAGAGTGTTGTACAGTATTCGATGCCAGGCTGTGAACTACGTTCACCGCCCCTTCTGGACCTCATGCACTCAGCACCCCTCAAATTTCTTCCGATTTTTACAAACGTCTACCCCCACCCGCCAAACCGCCCCTCAACCTGCCACGAGTCCTACTCACATCATCTCATAAATCACTCTGTCCATCCGCTCCGGAGCAGAGTCAACTCGGATACCCACTTTGATGTTTCCCAACATCTTCAACACCAGACCCCCGGACAGCGTCATCTGCGACCCGCTCTCGTCCACTACGGGGTGCTGATCTTCATCGATGTGCACAATGCCTTCCACACCGTATTTGGGCACCAGCACAACCACCCCGTTTCCTAGTATCCGAATAATTCGAGCTGGCTCCCGAACCTGTCCTCCAGCCTTCTTGAATAGCAGCACAGTGTGCAGAAGCGTCGATGACCGTGCCGCGTATTGCGCACATTGATGACGTTGATTGATCGATTCAGCAAACTGATTCACGTGTTGTGAATCCTGCAGTCTCATCGGCAATGAAGCAAAACCCATGCTAGCTGACAGCAGTCGGTGCACAATTACGTCGGCATATCTCCGGATGGGAGACGTAAAGTGCGTATATACAGGTGCTGCTAAACCGTAGTGAAGATATTCAGGGTCTGATACCTCCCCAGACGAGAAGTAGACAGCCTGTGTCATAGACCGCGTCGCGATAATACGCAGCAGTGTCCCGAGGTAGTCATCTCCCTGCGCCTTAGCCTTCTCTTCAATCTCTGCCAATGACTCATTTAGCCGTTTGCTGTTGGACACGTCGATATCGAAGCCTGCAGATTTTGCAGCCTTAGTCAAAGGCTCAAACATTTCCTCCGAAGGCTTCGGGTGACGCCGCAACATGGAGCATTGTGGGAAATGCTTCAACATCTTTTCTGCCACTACAATGTTCGCGAGAAGCATGAATTCCTCCACCATTCGATTCGTTTCCCGGATTTGGTACATCGCCACATCAGTAATTTGATCCCGCTCCTCGGATATCTTAAACTTCACTTCTGGGGAAGCCAGAATGAGAGCCCCAGCTGCCATACGCCTTTCCCGTAGTTTTCTCGCAATGTCAGCAAGTCCTAGAAGCCCCTCTGTCACTTTGTCATCCACGGCTTTTCCTTTCGACATGCCCTTGCGAGCAGCATCGATCCGATTTTGTGCCGCTTCATACGTGAGAGCTGCACTTGATTTGATAACAGACCGACCAAATTCGACTTGTTTCACGTTACCGTCGTTATCCATACGAATCAGTGCTGAAAATGCTAATCGCTCTTCCCCGCCACGAAGAGAGCAAAAGTTGCCCGAGAGCAGCGATGGAAGCATCTCTATTCTTCGATCTACGAGATAAACCGTACATCCTCGCTCTGCAGCCTCCTTGTCAAGTGCGCAGTCATGCGACACAAATGCAGTAACATCTGCGATATGAACACCAATTTCCACCTCTTCATCTGATATCCGTCGGAAATGCAATGCGTCGTCAATGTCAGTACACCCAGGAGGGTCCACGCTGCAGATGGTCCAATCTCGTAAGTCCCAACGCGACTTTACATGCTCTTCTGTTACCTTCCATGTTTCATCTGGAAGGCAACCCATCGCTGCGTCAGAAAACTTTCTCGTCGGGATTCCGTTTTCAATCAGGATGACTTCGGTCTCTGCCTCCTTATCTCCGCTCGACCCGATTTCCCTAATAATATGTCCTGAAGGGTGCAAGGAGTTGCGGTCCCACTTGTCCACGATTAGGAGCACGCGCTTTCCGATGAATTCCTTCACTCTCCTTGAACGGACTCGAACCTTTGGAACGCCGCGAGCAATCGGTACAAACAATGCACTCTCTCCACCCTTGTAGCTCTGTTCACTCACAGTGCCGCAATATGGTCTCCAGCTTCTTTGCGCTATTGCAATAACCTTACCAGTTGGTTTTGCTTCTTTCTTCGGTCCCTCGGTATCGGTTGTCTTCGAAGATGTCGCGACATCAATCTCCGATTCCTCAGCATCACTATCAACGTCAGCATCTTCGATTCCAATCGCAAGATTTGATGGAATGCTCCATTCCGATTTTGGCAGCAGAGCGATCACGACGATGTCACCTTCAATGGATCGATTTTGATTTTCTCTCCCTTTCACCAAGACTTGTGTTCGTTTCGTCTTGTCCTTCGGGTCCAGACAGACAGTGACATGAGCTTCTGTGACGTCATACGGGCTCGGGTGGAAGGTCCCCTGATAGTATCGACCTGCTTTTACACCAGCCTTCGCCTTACGCTCCGGTATATAGTCGGGATAGATTGCGCGTGGTCGTTTGGTTCTTGACGGTTTTTCGTCAGAGCCATTTTCTACTTCCATGTCCTCCGGTTCCTCATCCCGCTCCGCATACAGCTCCAGCAAGTCTTCATGCTTCTCAACAATAGACTTAACGGTAACTACTGGAATGCCAACATCCTCAGAACTGCTTTTTGATGTGTCACTCAAAAGAACTGCTTGCATACCCAGGCCTTTCCAGTGTGTGTTGAGCCATTTTATGGCTGCCACTGTGAGACGGCGGTCGTATGCATCTTCTGGTTCTCCAGACTGCTTTCTGTGTACATATGTTTCCCTCCTATTCTCATTTGAGAAAATCGCTGTATACTTCCCGTCTTCTTCCGTTGTCAATATACTTCGAACATGATCGTAAATTTCTGCTGATTTCGATCGCACACCTCGCAGCGTGCTTTGCAAAAAAAGAACATCGGATAGTGCAGGATGTTTCTTCACTATCATATCAGGTTGCCTTAAAACCGCATCGGTGTCTGGGACCAGGACGCGTTTGGAGGAAGGTAGACGACCAGCCGCCTTGCCCAGACTTTTCTTCTGTGAACGGAAATTTGTGAAAGGGAGTAAGAGAGGGAATATGGCAAACATAATGTTAGATTCCTCAGTTCTGAGATACTGTTAGGACGTGTCCAGCCTGAATGTATCCAGCTTCTCGTCTGTCGAGATGTTCATAGAAAAATGCATGTAACGTACAGGACAAGACGGGCAATTCAGTGCGCCGCAAGCCAGGTCGTCCCGAAGATAATGCTCTCTCGCGATAACTTGGACGTTGCCTCTCCTTGACTTCCGCACAAAAACCTTCTCTCGCACAGACATGTTGCACGATGTCGATGCCTCCGTGCTCTCGACTGATCACTAACCGGGTATTTCTCCGCTGTTCAGTTTGACTTTCGCTCAATGCGGCTCGTTCCGGAAATACTGTCTATTCCGGGCGTCGCTGATCCCAATATTTGGCCCAAATGGTCGCCAGCACAGCAATGAGCAATGAATTATTTATTACAGAGATATATTTATATATCTCTGTAATAAATGCCCCAAAATCTACACTTTGACCCTATATTTATTTACCTACATCATTTCCGATGATTAGAATCGGCTCAAGTTGAAGCGCTTTGCGTCAGCCTTCGGCGGTTCTACCATTTCAGACTCAACCGCACCGATTTTGTGCAGCGCCCATTCGATATCATCCGCGACAGGAGTCTTCACCCCGAAGGCCCCCAGGCCCACAAATTGTTTGAGTACTTTGCCTTCCTTATAGACAAGAAGAGTTGGGCATTTGCTGTCCGGGTAATTCTTGATTGCGTCGTTAGACTTGCACCGCAAAAACTTCGTCGAGCGGAATTTCGCAGAGAGTTCTAACAACCTGGCATCCATCACTTTACATCCCTCTAGAGATGGTGCAAACTAAGAATCAAAAGATGTACAGAAACGCAATGTTAGTGTCGGTAGTGGGGAAAATTTTCACATAGCCTCACATGGCGAATGGGACTTACCAGGTGTACTACGACGTAAATGCTTCCTCGCGCTTCTGTCACTTCGGATTTCCAGTCACTTGCAGAGACATAGGTAACACCAGGGCCAAATTTTGGTTTCATCGCTTCTTCACGCATTTGTGCGATACGCTTGTCCCGGTATTGCTGCAGGATTTTCTCTTCATCCGAGTCTGCCTCTTCCAATTCCTCTTCGAGCGTTTCGATTTTCTTTCCTTCGTGGGGGTCGTAGTTCTCAACTGTATCCTCTACGAGCTCTTTTAGAGCTTCCTCGGCGAGCTCTTCCTGCGTTTTTTCGGGAATGATGCCTTTCGACTTTAGAATGTCATCCCATTCTGTCGATTCTTTCGGCCCGCCGGTGCCCAGAGAAGCCATAGTGCAGGAGCAGGGTGATTCCCGTTCCACAAAAACGAGCCCTAGCGTATGGTTCAGGAAATGCAGTCCTTGGCGATAGGCACAGGCACCTGCAGAGAGGATCTTTTTGAAATGTTAAGCTTCTAACAAAGGCATGCCAAAATGCAAGAAACATTCGAAATTTTGCCATCCCCATAGAAGAATACCATGGCACTCTCAAATACAATTAAGTATATGTAATTGAAATTGGAAAGCTCAATGGACGCTTCTCAGTGGCTTAGTGCTATGCAGTATCATAGCTGTAATGTATGATCAACACCGGCGTCGCCTCGCCGGTGGGCAGCCGGCGCATGACCCTTTCCTCTTTGATACTCACACATCCATCCCTTTCCCGCCTGATTAACCCCTATTACCACTCTAGCTCAATTCATCTCCGCAACGCTGATCTTTGTCTCCGCTAGCAGTTCTGGAAGCCAAGAACTTCTCTGAAAAAGGCCGCCAATATGTCTGACTCCAAGACCTGCACAATCAGGACACGCAAGTTCCTCACCAATCGCCTTCTCCAGCGCAAGCAATTTGTAAGTATATTCGCATTGTCGATCTAGACACAACGTTAGCATTTATCCCAACCGCACAGGAGGGCTCCGCCAATGTAGCAATAAAGCTTCAGTTGTTTTTTCTTGATCATCTTACAGAGAAAGGCAGCGACAAACTCGCAGAGGGCCCACTGTTGCGTTCCGTGTTGAGGCGTGCAGCATTTTTGAGTTATTGACACGATTCGTATTCTTATCATGTCACTGCGTAGGTCATCGATGTCTTGCATCCGGGTCGTGCGAACGTGCCCAAGGCCGAATTGACGGAGAAGCTCACAAAAATGTACAAGGTGTCGGATCCGTCGACAATATTCCTTTTCGGATTCTCTACTCAGTTTGGTGGTGGAAAGAGCACTGGGTTTGGTGTCATCTACGACAACCTTACCTCAGCCAAGAAGTTTGAACCAACATACAGACTGCGTCGTGCGGGCATGGCTGACATGCCGACCGGCTCTCGCAAGCAACGAAGGGAGCGAAAGAATAGATCTCTCAAATTGCGCGGTCTCGCCAAGGCTAAATCACTCGGACATAAGTAGATTGAGGACACGCAGATCTTCCTACATTATGCCGATTGTCTCACGCATTGTTTGCTTTAGCGGCTTCCATGTAAAGGATCGTGTTCTATGACCTACTCAGAAATATGTTTATTTGGCATGCCTCTTGCGGGCGCAACCACGTCTGAGCGGCCTGAGTTAATCTTCATCAGAAGAAATGTCTGCTCGTCTTAGTGTTTCTTCGCGATTCAGTTCGGAGCCCAACTTTCGCTTCACAATTTCCAGTATAGCCTTCTCTGTACGTTTCTCTAGCCTTTCAAGCTTTGGCTGAAGTGCCCTCTCCATGTCCCAGCTGCCTTTTCTGGGGATTAGGTTGTCAAGATCTAAAGAGGGATCTCCAAACTTTCGGTTTGTGGATTTTAGCAATTCCGCTTGTGCTTCTGTTATCTCTCGCAGCAGCTCTCTGGGATCAGAGCCTTCTTCACGAACTGGTTTCATAAAAGTAGTCAAGTGGAAGTAGTACACTTTTAAGTTAGAAGGAAGTCAAAAGGCTCATCCCGGCCCCCCCCCACTACAAAATCCAAAAGTTATAAAAATGCCATCCGTGACTTACACTTTTTCAATTTCTCTGTTCGAGGGTTGTAATTTTGAAACCGAAGCTTCATGAGAGCTTGGTTCACCTGCTCAGATTTCTCATCCGCAGCCTTCGACATCTTGGCTTTCGACATCTTGGCCGCTTCCGCAAAAAAGGCCCCACGATGGACCAAACCTTGCGATGGGTGAGGGCGTTTTGTTTCTGAAACCAACTCTAGAATAGTGGGTAAGGAAGGGTTGGGTAGGTGTGTCACTAGCGTAACAAAGCCTTGATCATTCTTTGCGCACGAGTCTGATCCAAAACTTCTCAGTACTGTACTGTAGTCAAAAGAGCCTTTACCAATCGTACAGCACAGTTCATTCTTTCTTATGAGCTGCTTTGCAACAATATATTTTGAATTTTTTTGCAAAAGCGCCTTCAGTGGCAACAGGAGATGCGGCCGAGAGAAACGCCGTCGCGCGGCTCGGTCGCATGCCTTTGACGACTCTGATGGAGCGCTGTCTTGTTGATATCAACAGCTCACGTTAACGGCTACTGGCCCTTTGAGAGTGCTTGAGTAAACTTGCGCAGGAAGACGAGAACCTCCACTTTCTGCTTTATTTTTTCTGCCCAGTAGCAGGCAGTATGGGGCTATTGACTATCTTGCGAAAAGTGAAGGAGAAGGAACGTGAAATGCGAATTCTGATTCTTGGACTGGACAACGCCGGAAAGACGACATTTGTAAAGCATTTGAAAGGCGAAGATGTGCACACCGTATCGCCCACCCTGGGATTCGATATTGATACCATGGATTTTGACGGATACCGCTTGAATATCTGGGACGTCGGTGGACAGCAGACAATTCGCGCGTATTGGAGAAACTATTTTGAGCAAACTGATGGCATTATATGGGTAGTCGACTCTGCAGATACAAGGCGACTGGCTGACTGTCGGAAGGAATTGGAAGGACTGCTCAAAGAGGAAAGGCTCGCCGGGGCCTCCCTGCTAATCTTAGCGAACAAGCAAGACTTGGCTGGAGCTCTGAGCCCTGAAGGAATAGTGGCAGAATTGGCATTGAATGATGTGATTGGCCGCAAGAGGCATTGGCAAGTATTTCCTTGCTCAGCTTACTCACGAGAAGAGGGCAGCAAAAGCACAACAAATCTTGCTCAGAGCTTGCAATGGCTTGTCGAAGACATTGCTTCGCGGATATTCGTCAGCGACTGATTCGCCGAGAAGGGCAGAAAACATGACGACAAAGACTCGTTTTTGAACACACATTAGCGTGAAGTAGTGGCAGTCTCAAGGAAGTAAGTGGTCCAGATGGCTGCAACAAATTATTTTAATGAGCTCACGTCTGGACGGACGTTACTCGTGGTATGTCTTGCGTTAGAGTGACAGGGCGTAAATTCTTCCGTCTACAGGTCAGGAGAGAGGACCACCTCGTCCAAAAGTGGGCCACGAAGATAGTGCATAACAGTTATAACTTGCAAAAGACTCTGGATGGATAATCTGACACGCTCGGAAAAGCGAGATATTAACAAGCGGATTGCCAGACAACAACGAAAGGCGCATGCTCATTCTTGATTCTCAGAGGCACCATTTCCATGCTTTGCAGCGAAACCTAGACTCTTTGGGGTATTACCGGCATCTCTTGTGATCGTCTGACCATCCAAAGTTAGTATTTCTTCGTTTGCAGGCAAACATGAGGCGTACAACATGTCCTGGCCATTGAATAGAGAGTAAACACGGGCATGCCTTGCAAACAAAGACAGTGTAGGGAAGACATCTAGGTCCCCAACAAACTCGTAGTCAACAGTTCCTTTTGACTTTCCATCGACGAAAAACTCGGTAGACGTTTTCCGCGGCGCTTTTCGGTTGCCCTCTTCTCCGGACGAATCCTTCATAGACACTAGACAGCCCACTGTGCACCCCGACTGTAGTTCCTCCCCAAAGTCTCGCCATGTTTCCTTGCCATCAATAGTCTGTACCAAATTACCAGAAGTAGAGAATCCAACCGAGTTTGGTCTTGTTCCACAAAGGCAGTTGAGAGGAAGCTCGTGCGTGCTAAGCCCGATGCAAACACCACCACCATTTGCTTGCCGAAAAATGAAGAACTCGTAGTAGATGCGTTTTTGACTTTGCCGCACAGGTAAAACTCCTCGAACCGTTTTGTACAAGCCGCGTTCCTGGACGCGGACAGCACAGTGGTTTGTGTCGGTTAACCGAATCCCTTCATGGCACTCGTTGGGACTGAAACCAAAAACCGGGGACGAGAGTCTGGCGCGCACGGAATAGGCTAGTTCTGTGGGGTCACTCGAATGCAAGTTAGCTCGATATGGGGCCGTGTGTGGAAAGGAACCCCCCATATCGTTCAAAGTGGCGGCGTACGCTGCATCCTCGACAACGGGGACGTTGGGATCATAGCGAGCCATCTCGTCAAAATTTTCAAACGACGAGGCTCTCGACATGGTGCCATCTATCGTTTGCGCGTCCATGAGCTTCGCCGATTTGAGGTTGTTGACGTTGACGACGGTAACATCAAATGGTCTGTCCGAAATCTCGGTATGCATATAGGCCTTGCGAAAGGGGAGAATACATGGATTATCACGCTCGACGTATCGATACGCGACGCCAATATTGCGCTGAAAGCGCTTGATAGTCTTGGGTGTCATGACACCTTGCTCGATACGACTCTCCGGGCCCGTCTTTGTGATGGCAACGGCTGGCTCGGAGTCGAAGAAAGAGGTGCAGAAGCAGGTGACGTCACCGCAGGGCTCGACGGTAACAGACAGAACATTGTTGATGATGCCGCGTTCATCGAAGGCGATAGGCTGGTCGGGCGCATGCCGCCAAACATTGTCGATAATGAACTTGTACTGGTAATCGCCCCGTGGCAGGGCTTTGGAGAGTACCCACACGGGCCCTTCGGGAGACTGTGTGAGGGTCATGGGTACAGTTGTTTCCCAATTCGAAAAGGTGCCTGTAACGAAAGCGGACTTTGCAGGATAGGACCAGAAAAAAGTGACTTCGGTGACGAGCTCGAATACACTAGAGCGGCCGGAGGCTTGGGCGTTCTGGGCCTGGACGCGGTCGATGTCGAGATGAGAGACGGCCCACACGCCGGGGGTGACAGGGGTGGGCACGCCGCCCACAGCGGGCGGCGAGCCGCATGGATGCGAAGTGTCCGAGACAGCCTCGGGCGCCATGGCAGTGGTTTGAAGAAGAGGGACGCAGGGCGGACGTGGGACGCAGAGCGGAAGTGCGTTGCAGGCTGGGGGAGAAATGTCGCACGATGGGGATGGG